TGTTTATCAAATAAAGTCTAATATTACAACTAATCGGGAATCCCTTTAGCAAACATTTTTGCTTCGAAGTCTTTGATTCCGACAGAATTTGAGATTCTTTTAGAACAGATGGATTTATGTTGTTTTTCCTGTATTTAATATTAATTTCACTTAATTTTGAACTTTTTTTGTTGTTGTTTTTGATGCGCTGTAGAAATAAACTGACATAGATAACCTTTTAAACGTGTAACTTTTTAAAAAAAACTTTAGTTTTCTGAACACTTGCTGATATTTCCACACTGTTCTCTTCTCTGTTTTTTGTCTTGGTTCCAGACAAGTGGCTGAAGGACAAACTGGACAAGCTGATGGTCAGTGGTTACTTTGACAGAGCAGACACTAATCAGAATGGGGCCTGTGAGTCAGAGGAGACGCAAGAGGAACCAGCTGTGGTGACTGAGGCTGCAGCGACCGTGGAGCCGCCATCAGAACCAGGTAGTTAGTTTGCGAACGTTTATGAGAAATTCACTTTATCCAGAGGAATAACTCTCCAACGCTTCTTTTCCTCAGAGGGACTTCCTAATGAAAGCTGCACAGAGGCTGTTAAAGTGGAATCWACAGAGGTTAGCATTTTTTTATGTGTTCTGCAAGAAATCACATGGTCACCTGTTTTATTTATATATTTTTCATTTTACTTAATTATTTATCTTGTGTTGCAGTTTGTTAACAGACAGTTTGTTCCAGAAACTACATACAGCACTTCAGACAAAGACCAAATGGATGAGTGGACTGTGGAGGCTCAGGTATCCTCAGAGAAAGTATCATTTTCTCTGTTACCTCTAAATGTTTCTCAGCTCGTTATATTTTCTTAGATTTGTTTCACGTGTCTCTGTTGAGCAGATGAATTCCCTGCAGCACCACTCTCCTGCACAGCTAGCTCCTGAGCCAAACCTTACTGTGAACCAAGTCGCTCCCTCTCCTGCCACTGACCCCGTGGTCAGGAAACAGGCGGTACAAGACCTCATGGCCCAGATGCAGGGGACATACAACTTTATGCAGGTAAAAAGGATTTGTCGATATAGAAATGTTTTTCACAGTGCTGCTTTTGTTCAGGGATAGTTTGTTATTGTAAAATATCAGTGCCTCGTTTTAAGACACTTTTGTTTAAAACGAATTACAGGCTCTCCGGCTTAGCGTAGCTGCAGCAAAAAATAAATAAATAAATAAAAATTGAGTTTGACCAGAGATTTAACAAACATTTCTCGGGAGCTAACAAAGGCTCAGTTGTCACTTGAAACACACAGGATAAGCCCTACCAGCCAATCAGAAACAAGCTGCGGGTGGGACTTGAGTCTCAACAAAACTTTGATTCAGACCCAGCTGAAGTTCGGGAGGTGTGAAAAAAAATAATTTATTTGCTAAAACAAGTTTGAAAAAGAACTGGAGACGATGTCAAAGCTGACAGATTTTAAAAAAAGTTGTCCAAAGGATGTTCACTGATTCCTCCCTCTGAGAGAAAGACGAGGTGCGGCCATGCAGGCAGATGCTAACTTTAGCTAACATTAGCTGGACAGGAGCTGACAGGTGGAGCAGAGAGGAGCAGCCTGCAGACTATCCTGGTAAAATTTTTTGTTGCTTTAGTTCTTGGAATTAAACACTAAAATCGGTATTTGTTTGAACAAAACTCACTGTAGCAAAAGTGTCACTGTTTAACTTTTGATTTTTGTTTTTCC